GGATATACATATATTTATCTCTTTGTTTGTGCATTGTATGGCTAAGTATATATGTATGCTGTTAATTGTGTGGGTGTCCTCATGGCAAGACGATGAAGGTGGGCCTTAAAGTGCTTAGTGCAAGGAACTCTGGTCAAATGTATTCGGTTGTAGGTACATATAGCACACATATGTAGCACTTTTACTAACACCAAGAAGCGTTAAGAAAATGGGATATATGTACATACATTCTAAGTTAATCTGCCGATCGAAGCCAGTTCTTTTTTTTCTTGTAGACTGTATGCCTTTGCTATTTTCAGAGGAGTTCAAGAAATGCAAACTGTCAGCCAAGGAGTACCGTATACATACATACATATGCATATATGCATGTAAGTATATGGGCATAAATGCCAGGGTTGGAAAATAAAATTTTAAAATTTACGTTAGGCACGGTTCAAACCGAAAGAACCCATCGAGGTCACTCAAAAAATTACAATTAATTTTTTTTTCCTAACCATCTTCAATCGGGAACGAAATTGCTATGGTAGTATCGATTTTGGGTATCTATTAGATGAAAAAAAAATTATTTTAATATTTTTAGTCTCCAGGGAGGATTCAAAATTTTGCGCTGGGCGAAACTCCTTAACCGTCTCCAATCGGGTCTTAGTTGTATACAAACGTGATATTCGACTATAGTAGTATCGATTTTGATTAAATGAAAAACAAATTAATTTTAATTTTTGCAGCCTCCATATAGGAATCTGATCTTTTCCCCCCGTGCGGCACGCCTTAACCGCCTCCTATCGGGAATAAAATTTGTTATATCTTTCACCGTTTTATTACCGATTGAGGGTATGAGACTGAAAAAAAATCTTTCTTTTTATTTTGAAGACCACCCTAATGTGCATACATACATACATGGTAAGCTTCTCAGAGGTCTATTACTCGCAAAGCCTCTTTCCGTTTGTGCTTCCGTTGCAACTTATTTTGTTTGCATGCAATTTATCCTTTGCTTCATATGCTCCAGTTACTCTGGCTGTTGTCCTGCTAAGTTGTGGCTCGTTGTTTTTGTGATTGCTCTGCTTGTCATGTGCGAGAATTCTTGTATAAATGTTGCCAAAATCATCTTCTAAGCTTTTGTATCTTTAGCAGCTGAGAGGTTTGCTTGCGACAATAATGGTAGCGATACATTTTCAACACTGTATTTACCTATTGTAGGCACTTCACAATAACATCAACAACAACAAGTACAATATTTAATATGTAGATGCAAATAATTAAAGCTGATATTCGTTTCGCAGACTTGACGATGTCACCAACGCATGCACAATAGGTATGTATGTATGTATGTATGTATATATTACGCCAATTTTAACAAATAATGCAAAGGACCAAGCTGCACATATTCATAGATACATATAAAGTTGTATGTGTTAAAATCTTTAAGTCAAATGTACGTATGCAAATCCGTTAGTGCATTTACTTGCATGTGTTTGTGTAAAATCAGTAAATACATTTACATGACAACCATCTTCGAGTGTCTCAAATTCTGCGTCTTCACTGGCCCATGGCTTACTAACGTAACGTAAATGTTACCTATTTCACTTCCTTAGTCCTCTCTACAAACACTTAGATGCACTACATATTTCCATACACACATACGTAGGTATGGGCGTCCACACTTATGTATGCAGTATGTATGTAAATATAACTACGACAGCTTTCAGTGCCGTCCCGCCATTGTCAATGTCACTTCCTTATCCGCAATCCCCCATCCATCAGTCATACTTACTCTAGTACAGCTGCAGTATCCATGAAATATATTTGTAGATACATACATATGTATGTATGTGCGTATGTATGCATGTTATTCAATTTGAATGCATGAATTTTGAGCTTTAAAGTACTCGTATTTTCGAGGTGATTTAATGCTTCTCAAGGCAATACATTGTACCGTGGTTAAGCTGCTGGGATTATGTTGATTTCTGATATTTATCGGCTCGCAACTATTCGTACATGAGCATTACTGCAAATACGAGTGTGTTGTATACATACTTACTATTTATGTACATAAATAAATTCAAAAAAACATTCATAATCCTCTATGCAGTAAATATTTGTGGTAGTTATAATCGAAATGGCTTTTGGATTGGTGAACTTGGAAATGTATATACATACATATGTATATAGAGAGGTGTGGCACTTAAGAAATTCAAATGCAAATTTGTTTCGAACAAGTTTAGCTTACAAAAATTGTAATTATGTAATAGCTTTGAATACTAATACCTACTTTGCTCATACACTTGAATAGTTTCCAGTAGCCAAGTGTACAGATTAAATGGATTTTGCATAAATTTAATTTAATATTACTTTTTAAGAATATTTATCTATTTGATGTGTTGATTTAAATACTGCTCGGATTATTTATGGCAAACAAAGCAGTCAGAGTGTTTTCATATTTATTTGTTACGGCAATTGGTATACAGATTTAATGATGTACATATGTAAATAATTAATAAATTTTAACGAATATTGACAAACGTAAATGAATACCAAATATTGTTCAGGTCTACGAAAAATGCCCATTTATGTACATATGTATTATGTATACGAACATACACACATACAGCCACAGAGATTACCCAGTAAAATGGTATTATACTAAGTTCCCACGGCAAGTAATTCGCTCTCCCATTCTTAATTGGCTCTCTCTCTCATTCGTAATTGGCGCCCCTTCGAATTACGTTATTCGCCATAGAAAATTTTGAGCGCGAATTACCTCATTTGTAGGCAATTCAGATCCAATTACCATGCGAATTACGAACAAATTTGTGTCGGGTCTAATTTTAATCGGAAATTTATAGAACTCAGATGTCAGAGCTAGAGAGAACAGAAAAAATCAAAACAAAGAAAGTGAGGAAATGAAGGAAAACCACAATGAATTGGCAAATCGAATTAGGAATGAGTCGTGTAAACGGGGTAATTCACCAAAGTAAATCCGATGCGAACTAGGTAATTGGCGTGGGGACATAGTATTTAAGAATCCTTTGGAAGCCCTTCTCATTCGCCTTTCGATATTCCAGCTACTTCGCAGACGATGAGGTGGGATCATCTCAACGCTTCCGCTTCGACAGTTTCTCCATTTCGCTGATACAATTGTTGAACAATTTTATACGACCCTTTAAGCCTAAACTCTTTTCATCTGATATTGTTTAGTAAAAATATTTTTAAAAACTATTTCATTTATAAAAAACTAAATGTTTTAAGGTATTTGAAAATAGGTCCAGCTCGCATAAATTTTAATAAATTTTATATTTCCGATGGTAAAATATACCGATTTTTTTTTGTATGGAAGTGATACACCCTAGTGAATATTAACACTTAGCAGAAAAAAAATGTTGCTGTACTTTCAACTATAAAGTAATTTCGAAAACTTTTTTATTGTCGAGCGCAGTTTGTTGACCTCAGCTACCCCGTTCTAGTACTTACCCACCAGATCTCAGTTCTTATCATCCTAATGTTAGTAAATAAAAGCTCACCAAAAATCATAAAACTTTTGCCAAGGAAGTATATCGATTATTTTAGTTGAACTGTTTAAAAAAAATTTAATGCCGAAATGTAAAAAGTCGGTTCAGAAATTTTTTTTTAATTGACTTGCAAATATACTTCAGACTTGAAGGTGCACGGCGAACATTTTTTTCCTGTAAGATGGTGGTACGGTCTAATGTACATATATACTCACCTTTCTCGTCATTCCGCAAAAGAAAACCATAATTTTACATTTTCTTAACGCCAATTTTAATGCGTTTAATTATTACATATTAAATTAAGTTAAATTAGTAGATATTAAATATTTCATGTATGCATGTATTAATGTTAGTTTTTATGTATCTATGTATGTATTTGTAAGGTATATTTGCACATGTGTCTGTACGTGTATGTACTATTTAGTAAGAGTTTACACCCAATAAGTAATCTAGCGTGTTTTCCGTAGATTTATCACAGTCAAAAATTTTTGCTTAGTGCTTACAAACATACTTCAGAATTGTATCAATGTAGAGATTTTTTTTTATTTGTTTATATTTAAAGGGTTAAATTGCTTGTGGGCTTAACTAAATATGCACTTATGACTATTCAAACATAGTGTTCATAAAGAACTTTTGTTTATTATTTAAAAAATATTCCAGCATTATTTGATTCCTATTTTTTTCTTCGTTAATTTCGTAAATATTTGCACAAAGTCCCAAATGGTTGAAAACGTCTGTAACGAAAAGACAATACGGATAATTTATTGATAGTTTCTCAATTAAAAAATTATTCGTTGAACTATTTTCCTTCGGTTGTTATTTGACGTTTCTTAAAACAAACAAGTTTTTAAAAAGAAATTTTTACACACCTCAAAGCTTGAAAATCCTTGTGACGAAGTTATATTTTGCCTATGCAAATCTGGACTTTTAGACGGGCGACACAAATCCAGCGATTTGTTGGCTAATAAAAAAACAAATGGAAATTTTTCATAAAATTAGCTTCTTTTAAAAACAATTGGGTTAAAACTTAAAAATATGTATCTCGCTTTCGATCCCTCTCTTCCTGCTCACCTTTTATACCGCGCCTTGTAAGGCGAATCATTCGGCGNCATCGCATAGCCATGTAGGCCGCTTGCGTGTGCAGCACCATAACCACCGGCGCCATTGCTATTACTGCGACAAGTAGCGATCGTAGGGATTTGCGAAGCGGTAAGCAAGAGATTCGCCGCCACGCTCTGCAACTTCATATTCGGCGGAGTTTGGGGTGGAGTATCGGGTTGGGCTTCGGGAAACCCCATCCCCCGCTGAGCCGCTGCGTACGGATGGTGTAGTGCGCTGGTGTTGTTGTTGTTGCTCGCACGCATATGCGTTGGCGGTGGGGGTGGTGGTGCTGTTGCCACTGCTGCCGCCGCCGCCGCCGCCGCCACCGCTGCTGCCTGTTGCGCCGTAGTATTCGTAATACGGGTGTTGTTGGTAGGGGTGGTATTGGTAATGCCCTGGACGCTGCTGCTGTTGATAATGTTGTTGTTGTTGTTGTTGTTGCTGCTGAGTTGGTGACTGAGGTTGCTGCTGCCGCTGCTGTTGGTGTGTATGGGATATTGTTCGTAGTATGCAGCTGCTGCATTGTAGCCCCTAGAAAACCCCCGTAAGCTGTGGTAGGCGGCGCCCGCGAGTAGGCTGTGCTGCCGCCGCCGTAATTGCTCATCATCATATGCGCTGTGGGGGGCGGTGGTGCGCTCAGCGCTGACGACTGCTGCATCTGTTGCTGCTGCTGCGCTGCAGCTGCTGTTGTGACAAGCCCATATGGCTGCCCATAGCGCTGTGGTTCATGTGCGCCTGCACCTGCGCCTGCGCCTGCTGCAATGCGTGCTGCTGCTGCTGCTGCTGCTGCTGCTGCTGCGTTTGGCCCATGTATGCTGCCGTCTGTGCGGGCGGTGGGGTCTTGCAGGCGACTGTGTCGGCCAAACTCCAGATTTTGGGCTTGCTTGCTGGAATCGGCACGCCACAGTCCCGGCTCAGCTGGTTTTTTGAATCGCTGCCGTCATGTTTGTTCATGGGGTTGTTGTTGTTGTTGTTGTTGTTATTGTTAATGTTACTATTAACGCCTGGCATGCCGCCAGTTGGATAGCCACTTGCGGCCAATAGTGCCTGCTGGTGCTGATAGTAAGCGGGATGCTGGTGATGGTAGGGATGATAGCCGTGTGGATGGTTCGACGTGCCGCCGGAGCTGTGGTAGCTGCCGCCAGCTGCACTGCCAGTGCCGCCAGCGCCAGGATAGCCCATGCCTAAGCTGCGTACATCATTGGGATGTGGACCTAAGGGTTTGGGCTCGTCATCGGGCAGATCGTCGTCATCCTTTTCGAGCTCTGAATTGATTCAAATTGAAATGTAATTTGAAGTAAGACTTCTGAACGTTTTGAAAAAAAAATATACTCCATTGTTTTATAAAGAAAAAAAACTTTTTGTAAATCTAAGAAAAAACTTAAATTCTATTTGATGTCCTTATTTGCAATTCACAGTTAAGGTTTGTATTGTCTACTATAATTCTTCCTCACCTTTCCGCTGCCCGCCGCCGCCGGTACTACCACCGTGCAGGCTCTGCGCTCCCTTTTCACTATCCAAATCATCCTTTTCCTTCTCATCGTCGGACACCATCGCCTCGTCATCGTCATCGGTGCGATTCTTTGGCTCCCAAGTCATTTTATTTTCTTTCTTTAGCCGTCGTCGTGCGTTCGCGAACCACGTGGACACCTGCGTCAGCGTCATCTTTGTAATGATGGCCAGCATAATCTTCTCACCTTTGGTGGGGTAGGGATTCTTTTTGTGCTCGTTGAGCCAGGCTTTCAGAGTGGCTGTAGACTCGCGCGTGGCATTCTTACGGCGTGCGGCCAAATCGTAACTGGGACCATATCTAAAAGAGAAATGTTGAAGAGACGAAGTGTTGAGTAATATTTCCTAAATTCTCACACACCATTGACTTATATTAAAAATTATATTTAACTATTAAATGTCTTCCCTGCCATAAACCGTTATCTTCCATTAAACTTTTACTACGTTTTGAGCGTTTTTTGCTTTCCCCTAAACTACTACTTTCTGCCATCAGCTTCTTCTAATTAAATTCACGCCCCAACGCATGGCTAATTAATTTTCCCGTCTACTTTGGAACCTCGAAGCAGACGAAAAAATCTGCGCTTCACACGCGTACACTCAGCAGCGAAATGGCAAACTTGTGTCTTCATAGTGTGAAAAAATAACCAAAGGCAAGAAAAGCGAGAAAATTAAGCATCCGACGTGAAGGGAAAACGATTTAAAAGCGAGGAAAATGACGTTACGTGTGAATGCTGTAACGACGAAATAAAGCAGCGAACATATCCTTTAATCCAAGCGAAGCAGCAGGAACAGGAGTAAAAACATCAGCACACAACCGCATGCACGTACTATACATGTGGCAATACATTAGGAGGAACACACACACACACACACACACTCATACGGACCGACGACTGTGGCATCCTTTTGCACTCAACTCACGCACTGGACGCTGCTCCAACGGTGGCACCACCAAAGCCGCCAGCAAAGTCAGGCACTCAACGCTCTGCCAGTAAAGCGCAAAGCGAGGCAACAAAAAGTGTATAAAACCTTCCGCCCCCACCTTCTCTGTCAGCTCTTTTGTTGCAGTGTTGCATGCTGCCTGTGTGCCACATATTCGCTGCTTTCCGCAATGGATTATCGCCGCGCGCGCACCCCACCATCGGATGGTTACACCAAGCGCTGCATATTTTGTATGCGTGCAGCAGCTTTTGCTGCGCTGTGGCATGTGCGGCATGCAACATGCCAACACACCGCACACCACACACTGAACCACCAACGCGATTGCTCCCGCTTTATTTACAACAATTTTTTCCAGCTTTGGTTGTGCTTTCACTTGCGCTTAGCCTGCACACAAATATTTTTAATTTCTTTATTTTTCTCAACTTTTGTTTTTTTCTCAATTTTTTGTGGAATTTTTATGGTGCCGCAAGAATCAACAGCTTGTGCGGTGAATTTTACAACCCAGTACTCGAATGTCTGTACCTACTCCAGACGCACACTGCCCGTACAATCAATCGTACGGTGTCCAACGGTTAGCCGCCCGACCGAGTCCACTGTTGGCGGCAATTGCCGGTGCTGCAAGCAACGTGCGTGGCCGGATGCAATGCTTTTTTTGTTATTTCTTTTCCTTAGCTATGATGCGCATATTTTTTGCTTTTCTCGTTTTATTTTTTATTTTTTTTCGTTGTAACAAAAACGCTTTGATTTTATATTTGCTGTTGGCATCTGCTTGAAAATCCTGTTGAAGGCTCGTTCCGTGAGTGGCACTCAACACCACTTTCAAGCGCTTGCTACAGTTTGTAGTTGTTGTTATACTCATCATGTGGAGCACTCAGCGCGATTTTTTTTTTGTTGTTTTTTTTTATGCTATGCGATCCTTTTTTACTATTTTGCATTAATGGTTTTGCTCTTTGGATTACTCTTTAGTTTCAAGCACAGCTCAGCGAGGATATTTGGTCAAATGCCCACAGCAGCGAGAGTTATCGTTTTGCCTACGGCTTTTTGTGGTTTCAATGCATTTATTGCATTTTGTTTCATTTTATATTTTGTTATTTTTATTACTTTTTACAGTTTCTATTATTTTCTACTTTTATTCGCTAGTATCAACTAGTTAATGCTGGTCTGTTGATTTTCTTTATCGGCTATAATGTTTGCTTCCGTATTGTTTATCGCCTTTAGTGCGAATGTATTAGGAAGAATAAATCTGTGGCTTGTGCAAAAGAATTTAGTTCGCCTCTAAAGTCGTTATGTAAATAAACCTACTTGGAAGCTTTCACTGGGAACTATTAAAATGTATTTGTATTATGTATAATAAAGCACTTTAAATTTTGTTGAAAATAAAACTAAAAAATAAAAGCCCCGATGAATTTTCTAAAATGCAATTCATGCCGTAAAATTGAGCTTGGACTTTTCGATCCCTGAGATAGCTTCTGAGGGGCCTGGGAAATGCATCGACTTGAAACAATTCCCAGCAGAGGAGATCCTTGTTACAGCATCCTAACAGTAACTCCTTACTCAGCACGATGTTATATTCCTTAACTTGTTTCAACTAAGCGTAGCTGTGAAATGGGTGCTCAGTGATTATCATAAGGTATAAAAAACATAGCAGTTCTAAGTGCGCCGTTCTGTCGTGTCTGCGTCCTACTACACAGGCGCTTTATGATGTTTAACTAATGATCGTGTCTTTTGTAAGACACAAACTGTATATTACAGATGTGAAGGAAAAATTAATATGGGGGTCCTCATCAGAGCAACAGAAGCCAAATCAACAATTTTTACATTTTTTGTTTGTCTATCTATCTGTATGTTTGTACGCGCATCCCTCGAAAACTAATACATGGAATTAAGTGCAAATTTCACCAATGGATTGCCTAAGGTCTAACTTAAAATATAGACTAAAAAAAAAATTTGGGAGTTGCCACCTGTTGAAAAATTTCAGTTTAGGTAAATTGATAAGATAAATTAAATATTGCAGTATAGTGATTAAAACGAAGAGGTTTAAGAAGGCTTGCAACCGGAAAAAAAATTTTGTAGAAAGATGCCACCTATTTGAAAATTTTAATTTAATTTAATTAATAAGATAAATTTAATATTGCCATATGGGTATCAAACTAGGGAACTTAGGAAATTTGACTGCAAATAATATTTTTGAGGTGGTTGCCACCTATTTAAAAAATTGTAAATTGATAAACTAAATGAGATATTACAATACTGGTGTCAAACTGAAGAGGTTTAAGAAACTTTATTGTCTAACATATTTTTAAAGCGGGTTGCCACCTATTTGAAAAATTTGATTCAGTTAAATTGATAAGATAAGGTAAATATTGAATTAGTACGCCTTCGAAGAAAGTGCGCGATATACAGACTCGAGTTATAAGATAATAAATTAAATTTTCAGGAGAAATCCGATACTCCACCTACTTTCTAAATACCCTCGAAAACTAACACCCACATTTATAAAAAAAATTAAGAATGCTTCATAAATCGAAAATTTCTTTGATAATCTCCTTTAAAAAAGCTCTTTAAATATATTTTATTTTGTATGAATGAAGCTAAATGAGTTTTGGCAGGGAGTGAAAATACAAAAATAATTTTAAGGCGCAGCGAAGCACGTGGCTATATTTTTTTTAAAACCGTTTTTCAATAAAATAAATTAGCAGAAACCCCGGCTGGCTAAACGCCAGCTTTCGTTTCTGATAGGAGTTCTAACAGTCTACTGCCTAATAGAGGCTCAAGCGGTACGACTTAATAACTTTTCGGGCCCCTATTGCCAAGGCTTTTTGAAGTATTGCGAGGGGAAATCATATTAACATTTCTTTCTTAGGTGTGCTGCTTTCGCAAGACTAAGGTTTAGACATTCCGTCTCGTACATCAACGACACTTCCGAGTAATCCTCTGGGGTGGACAACAGCTGCCTGCGGTTCTTCATATAGATTTCCTGTAGTTAACGTTCCAGAAATACTACTAACACTTTCATTTGAAATTTTTTTCTCTCAAAATTTTATTCTTTAAGAAAAGTTGTAAGGAGTTGTTATATTTATACTCAAAGAAAGTAGTAAGTAAGTTCTGTAAGCAATGTCGCTGTGTTCTTCACTATCGTTATCAATATATTTTTGCCATCTTATCGACCATTGTCGTAGTCAATATCGTTCTGCATATACATGCTTGTCAATAAAATACATGTGTTTTTTTTTAATATCATTTGGAGACACATCTGGATATTAAAGTGGCTGTATTTTGTGATACTGCGTGATCACTATTCACTATTTAATCGATGAACACTCTAAAAGAAAGTGAAGAGTGAACTCCAGCTCATCATTCTCCAGGAAACTACGGCAATTAGGATCCTATATGGTTTTTAGTCATGCCGCTTGGATTCCGATCGGACAATGACCTGTTATGACTCTCACCAAAAACGAGAGCCTGTGGCTTTGCAAACATAAGGGGCTTTCTGACCGCATCCATATGGACCTTACAATTACCCATGCGCCGGGTTTCGTCCAGCGTTTGCTGAGCTTACATGAGTCATATCTGCTTAAGAGTAAACCACAGGTGGTCAGCGCCATTCCCAATTGGGTGATGTCGTTTCAATGGTAGGTCTAGATATCTCTGGCTAACTCGTCAGCAACTTTGTACGAACGTTGTACAGTATCTCTGGTAATCCCCTTCGGTCAGTTGACGAGATCAAAGACCTTGGTGTAATTTGCGTGCCCCTTTTTTATTCAGTAACCACATAAATCTATATCTAAATCATATATTGCGTTGGGCTTTTTCCATCGAAATAGTTTTAATTTAACAGATTCCTACACTCTGAAATTACTTTATACATCTTTTGTTCGTCCAAAGCTTGAATATGCTGCATCTGCAAACCTCAGCATAAATTTGCTATCGATAGAACTGAGCGTATTCAAAAAGTTTTCCTAAAATATGCCATTTCTTCCCTTAATTTCTCCATTCACATCGCTCCGTACAAATCCCGCCTCCTTTTGATTAACCTTAAGTCCCTCTAAAGCGGAAGGACTATTCTTTCCTTGTCTTTTGTGCATGGCTTGGTAAGTTGTGAAATCGATTATCCGCATTACTGCTTGCTATTCAATTTCTTATTCCTGCGAGAGCACTTCGTTTTAATTTTCCTTTTTACTTCAATACCCTCAGTACGAATTACGCAAGAAATGCCCCATTAGTGCGTGCACTTCGAGAACTCGACGAGATTTCGAATTCTATTTTGTTTGATTTTTCTTCGCCCAAGAATGTATTTTCTAGATTATTGAAATCAATTTTATTTTAGTGCTCTATGCACTTTAGTTCTAAGTTATCGTT